ATATAGTAACATGGCAACACATTGTTTTCTTCATTATATTTTTCTGTTTTAGTCACTAGATTTTTAAGACATGGCAAGTAAAATACTTTTAAACAGAACATCATCAACATTTGATTCAAGAATGTAAATTCCTTGTGTAAATTTATGGTGTGAACCAATTCTTGAACGATTGATCTCAATCGCTACACTCATATTTTTCAGTCAAGTTCAACAGTCAATGTTGTTTTGTGTTGCGGTTTGTAAATGTCGTAAATCGTTCACCTGCAAGTTGACAGCTAGGTCAGTTTGTAGCATATGAATCCCCAAACCGGGTTTGCTCTTTACAATATACCTGCACAAATATGGCAAGGTTGGTTTCAGTTTAACTGCACAATGGCAAGTTTGATTTGATTTTATATTTCAGTTTCTATTCAGCGTCTATTTGATACGTGGACCTCGTGCCGTAAGGGCCTGATCTAAGATCAGTGCAAGCAACAATGGCTTCGTTCAACTTTTTGAATGTGTGCAAAAATATGGAGCCTGATCAAATATTTTTGACCAGAGCAGACCAAAATTGTGATGTTTTTAGCATTATAAATGACTAGAGATGGAGAATAATTGGCTTACCTGTATTTGTGATGAAATATTGATGTTATATTCGCAGATCTGTGGACTGTGCATTTAATACTGTATCACTATATCAAAATATCTGTGTAGTGTATCAATATTTATATCGCATCATAGCATTAGAGCAGTTTCAGTAAGCCGAACGCTCCGTCACAACTTCACAGCCTTCACAACTTTTTTAGCGTGTACGCAATGGTGGCCATGAACGGGCCAACCACAAAAAACTAATTAACAGATTATCCTAAGAATACAATTGAATTCTGTCTTATAATATATTAATCTGCAGGGTGACCAATTAACGATCGGTTTTAGACAACGACACTTTCTGCATACATGCCATAAAAGCCTGCCATAAGCAACAGTTCTTTTTATAATGTGGAAAAAAATGTTTAGTTGGAATCATTCCAAGTATAGTCTTCATAAATTAAAGTTTCCTTCAAGGCTTCAACCTTGTTCCGTGGTTGAATTTCCTTCCATCAATGGACAACTTGCCTGTACTCAATTTTAATCTAAGTAAAGAGATGGGAATCAAACACCACAGCTAAAAAGAACATAATGAAATTAGTAAAATTGCAAAATTTGGTTGCGAAATGTTGTAAAGCTTGGAAAATATAGTCTTGCACAGTTTGCAAATTTTGTATATATTTGGATTACGTGCGGACTGCGGAGATTGTTACCATTTTTTTCTCAAAAATGGTAACAATTTCCTCACGTAATACAAACATATACAAAATATGCAAACTTCGCAAGGCTATATTTTCCGTATTTTAAAACATTTCGTACCCACATGGTTGCAATTTTACTAATTTTAATAAGTTCTTTACGGGAATTTACTTTTTTCCTGGTCTAACATGCAAGTTGTCTATTGCGGGGTGCATATTCGTGGTTTCATAGCTTTTTTAAAATTAAGCAGCATTTTTAGACTTTTTAGAAAGGTTAAAAGTATCACTCTCCGGTGGATAGCGCTATCCAGCCATCCCAACTAGTCCTTTTGTACCGAAAAAAATTGGGGAAGAAAAGATCTACTTATGCTTGTACTGTACATAAATGTAGCTAATACGACAGAAACACCGCTCAATCCGATATACAACCTATCGAATATTCATTCAATTATATTGCATTCGAGCGGACGTTCGTTTGATTTTAATAGGCTCTCACAGATATTGAAGACGTTGCTGATAATGTATAGAAAATGGCAGATGACATAGGAAAACGGTTTTACCGTTTAAACATGCAATGCCTTGTTGAGTAGTATACTCCTATAGGTTACATGACTCATGTCTAAGTATAAATTTCATTTCTCAATTCTTAGCAACTTTTTTTTTAGTGAAAGGGACATATTATTTTTAAAACCATTCCGGAGCATTTTCAAAGTTCTTTGCATTGGAGCGGACGTTTCTTTGTCTTTGATTTTAATGAGTTCTCACGAATATCGAAGACGTTGCTGATAATGCATTGAAAATGGCAGGTGACATACGAAAACGGTTTTATCGTTTAAACACGCAACGCCTCTTTGTTTTGACACTATACTTGTCTTGGAATATGCTTATTCAACTTGAGTAGTAGTCCTAGGTTGACATGACTCATAAGCTCAATTGTTTAAATTTCATTTCTCAGTTCTAGCAGTTAGCGGGGGTTTTTTCGAATATATAATTATATGGCGAATTGAGTGAAAGGGACATAGCTAATATTTTTAAAATCATTCGGGAGAATTTTCAAAATACAGCTATACTGTACCTGTTTTTAAGCATTCTAAAAGCTTTTTGAGCTTTTTAAGCTTTCTAAAATCATACTTTACAGCGAGGCCATGCAGTTGTCAAAAGCGAGAGGAATACATACATTAGTCAGCTTCGTTCAATTCGTGATTGATTTTCTTTACTGTACAATGAGAAGGTACAACTGCAATTTTATTGCGAGTCAGAGTTGGGTGGGGAACCAGAGGTCCCAGCCTTCTCACGTCTATACCATATACCAGATTATCTATCAACTCGAAGCAATGTACAATATATGACAGGGCATAGATAATTTTATTCACTGCAACAGCAGCATTGAAAATAATTGAGATTTTATCAAAATTCAAATTCTATCTAATGTATTGTATTATTACTTTTCAATTGACATATATTATATCAAATTCGCTATTGCATTCATTAAAAAAAACTCTGCACTAATTATCCTCATTAATCCACCTTCCAAGCTCTGGATTCCAGTCAACTAGTTCATTCTCACGGAACCACAAAGCAATTTCTGTTTTTGCGCTGTCTACAGAATCACTACCATGAATTATATTTCTACAAAAGTGAAAGCAAACTGGAGATTAAAATGCATGATCGTATACATAAATACACACAACTTAATATGTTCCGTACGTTAAGGAATATTTACAAGTCAGAACTCTTCTACTTGGAATAATAATTTAAGGTCAATGTAAATATTTACTTACAACTTTATTTGTTAATATTTATAAATATGTACAAATACATTTGAAAATAACCAATCGGCAAAGGCGCGAACGGGACTGAAGTACCCATGCGAGGCGCCTTCCCGATAACGTTAAAATAACATAGGTCAACATAAGACTAAATTGTATACTGTATGTAAAGTCAATTCTCAATGGCAAGGACAGTCACGAGACAGTGTCCATGTGCATGGGAAGTCTATGTCAAAGGATGCATTGAATAAAGTCAGGTATGTTTGCTCACGGTTTGCTTGAGTAATTGTTTAAATGACGAGATGTTGGAAAAGCGATGCACAGGAGCTGTTTTGTAAATAGTGTTCCAGAGTTTGACAATCCGGTTGTAAAAGGATGCCTGAAAAGCGTTTGTTTTACAACGTGGAGCTTTCATAACTAAAGGAATCTGGCTGTGTCTGGTGCGGCCATGGCCTATAAATGCAATATATTTATTGACGTTCACGTCGATGTACCCATATAGGGCCTTGTAGAAAAAGGTTAGGTCTTTGATTTTTCTGTCGTAGCATCAAGGCAATAAGTGGAGCAACTGCAGTCCTTTGTAACCGAAGATCCATTTGGTAGCTCGCCTCTGTACTCTTTCAAGCTTGGCTTTGAGCATGTCCTGCACCGGGGACCAAACTTGGGTAGCATAACGTAACGGTGACTTGACAGTTGACAAGAGTTAAGTATAATGTCCGTCTCACTTGAATATCAGCTATAACAGTGGGCAAGTTCTCTCAAGAAGACCTAAAGCCCGGCGCACACTAGAGCTATGTGCTTAGCAAAATGTCATTCGTGACTGTTGGCGTAAGGAGATAGCTCTCGTGTGCGGGCGATTTACGAACGACTTTTGTCATTCGTGCCACTTACGCCAAATATCTAACATGTTTGATAATTTCTGCCTCGCGTGCAAAAATCTTTCCGTGTGCGGCGAACGAAAGCTATCTGCTTACGGATTGTCGTAACAGCGCATGCGTAGTATACGAAAGTAAACATCCAAGATGGCGGCGCAAAATAAATTGCTGGCTGAGGCAATTTTAGAAGACAAACTTGTCGTGATAATGCTGTTCCAACAACTTGTCTACAAGCTTGCTTTTGGAACAGTATTGACACAACTTGTTAACAAGCTTGCTACAAGCCCGTTGAGAACATATCTTGTAGACAAGTTATTGGAACAGCATTATAACGACA